GCTATTTCCGTTCTTCCTTATACATTTTTTTGTATGGTTGCTGGTGTTCGTTCACCCATGCGCTGATTGTCTTTTCGCTTTCGCCGATGTACTTCCAGTCCTTGCAGTTTATGTTGATCTGATCATCACGATCTGTATGCTGAGCTGTAATACTTCTTCTTGAAATCAGCTAGCATGAAATATCTTAGTTGATTTTTCCAGCTCATCTTCCCAGATCTTATAATCGGTGAGTCATATGGTTCTTACGGCTACATTTCTGAATATCCCAATCTTAATTCCGTAAGCATGATGAGACTGAAGTTAAGGATTATTCCTGTATGTTATTTATTTAGGAATAGCAGTACTTTCTTAAGTCTTTTTGACGTGAATAACCTCCATATCCAAGAAAGATAAGTGTCAGCTCCCTTCCACATCCATTGTAAATTTAAATTTTTTATAGACGTCTCTTAAAAATATCAGGAAATTGCATAGTTTTCTTCCCCATGAGACCGAAGTGCGAAGTAGCCATAGTCGCATAATTACTGTTGGCTGCTGAGATTATGTTATAAAATTCTCCCCCAGCTTGCTCATCCAGACATTAATAAGTCAACTCTCCGATGCTGGAAATCATCATGGATAATATGGCAGAGGACGAAGAACTAGGCACGTTCCGCATGATCTCTCTTTCGGCTAAGCAATATACAACATCATCTTAGTCGTCATTTCTATAAATTTTATATAGTTAGCATGAATTTAAATATTTTAAGAATCTTCTCTAATATGCATATGACATACTGAGTAATTGACAAAATGAAGTGTCAATACGACGGATGGCACACGAAATAGCAAGTAATGAAAAATACATAAAGTGAGATATCTCGCTGACATGATAACTAAAACTAATAACAGAAAGTGTTTTGGCATCATTTGGAATTAGAATTTTGCATCATTTGGAATTAGGATTTTGCATCATTCAAAGAATACTGAAACCCCTTATAGGATTTTAGTCAGAATAAGTGTTTGCATTTAAACAGTTAAGTTTATTTACAATCTTGATGTTCTCAGTCCAATTACCATGCCCGAAAAGCGTTTCCAAGTGATAGAGGAGAAGCGAGCCTTTTTCATATGGAATTCGAGAGAAGCCATCATCCGGATGGACATTACGGAGATCCGGTATCAGTTTGGTCAGAGGACTGCATTCTCCAAGGTCACGAACCTAAAAAGATAACAAAAACAAGCAGGTATATTAATAAGTACCCTAGATAAATGGCCAAGTAAAAACTTAATAAAATAAACACTAAAATTTTGATTAATTTGAATTAAATATTCATTTAACCAAAGGTGTGAAGACCAAGATAGGTATATTAATAGGATATAAAATAATCATAAAAATGTGTACACATACTTCTTACGAAAAAGCTACAGCAAAGTTTTCTAAAAGTGAAGGGCTAGTAATAATAAAAGCAATTAAAACAGAGAGTAGGTCTGAAAAAGGATTAGGAACAGCGACAAAGCAAAAGATTAAATTAAAATACCGAGTAATTCGGACAGAAGAACCTTAGCCATTATGACCAAGAAAAACTCGAGGCATCATAATGTCATTATGAACGTGATGAAATTGGAAAGA